ATGGATGCCCCTAAACGAAGAGAGGATCGCAAAATAGACCTACACGGTCCATATTTACCGCAGTACGTACATGCATTAATTCACTGTTTTAAACGAATTTGCATCATAAGGTACTAAAAATTAGATCCTAGTTCCATATAAAGGCTGATTATATAGGAAAGCGGAAGATCCCAAAAAATAAGCCCATTCCGTCTGAATATTGTATATTATTATTTTAACCGATTTTTCTCGAAAAATATTAAAAGTCGCAAAATTTTTTTCATGGAAGCACTTAGTCTGGGGAGCAGTCGTGAAAAAAGTTTAATCCAAAACATTTTTAGTAAGAGACATTCCTGTGCCAAAATAAAACATTGTCTCAAGTTTTATTCAAATATCCTAAAAGTTATGATGTAAGTAGATTGAAGACAGACAGACAGACAGACAGACAGACATATGGAAATAAAGTTTAAATCGGTTTGGAAAATGATTCTGGAGCGACTGTTGTAATGAAAGGTGCGTCTATTTCAAGTCCTTCCGGGTGGCTGTCTTCGAGCATCACAATTAACAGACTATAATAAGCAATAACAGCGTAGAGAGTCTATAAGCTTTTAGATCTTTGATCATATCGGTCAGATCGATCTAGAAACTGAATAATATGAAAATGAAAAAGAAGTAGGACTAAATTTTATATTTTGAATAGCGAGACCAGACGAACTGTTGGTTAAGAATGTGTCATAGGGTCTAAAATAAGTGTTGAGTAAGAATATAATTTTCTCCAAGTAATGTGACACCTGCTGTCAGACATAATTAGGTCTTTGCGCTTCCCTTAGGCATTTTATTTATGCAGGTATATAATAGAGATCTAATAATTTTCAGTTATGCTACACTTGAAAGACATGATCCTATTAAAGATTAGCATAATTACAATATTGGATTGAATATAAAGAAAATGAGAAAAATGGATTCTGAGTTAAAAATATAAGTTTACCCATAGTCAACTAAACTGAAGGAAGGAGGGAAAGCGATGCTAACCGATCAAGTGTTTACAACAGTAGGCTGTATCAAGTACTTGCAAGCAAAACTTAGATATATATGTTTATATATATATAATTCTGAAATCGGGGAAAGGAAACATATGTACCAAATCAAATTTAATTCAAGACCTGCACGCAGTATTTTGTTTGCACGGAAGATAAGGCGATTCTTCTTTCCAGCCAAGAACGCGAGAACATATTAAAGAAATATTAAAGAAATAAAAAGAAAAAAAAAAAATTAAACTCATATTCTTTAAATTTCCTTTTTTCATATTTTATTAAAAAAGAAATTAAAATAAACTTAAATATAAAAACTAAACTATTTAAGATAAACTAAAGGCATAATAATTTCAATTATATATACAGTTGCTAAGCAAAATAATTTCAACCTTTTTTCAAACTCATCATAATCAAGAGTTTAAAAAAAAGTATCTTAAAAACAAGAGAAATTTTTATAGATATTTTTTAAAATAATTTAAAGAGCAGATTACATAACAATAAAAAGTCTTCAGAATTATTTATATAAATTAAAAATTAAATTATATTATTTATTTAATTAAAAAATAAAAAAAATAAAAAACTGAACTAAAATTATGACTTGAAAGCATAAAAAATATTGAAAAAAAAAAAATTTTTTTTAGCACATTTTTTAAAATATTTTCACATAAAAAAACACTAAATAATAAAATTTATTGCCTTTGACATTGCACGTAGTTTAAAAGTGTAATAATAATAATTAAAAAAAAAGAAAACTTAATTTTTCTGCTAAATAAAAAAAAGAAATATCATTATAATTAAATGTAAGGATTGACTAATAAAAATCATTAGAGTTATTTTTTTTTTACGTATGCTGTTATGTTATTACATTTTTGTTGTAATTGATTTTTTGTGTTAACTCGTAAGTTTTTTCTTTTTTTTAACATTAAAGAAAAAAACATTAAAATTAACTATTTACAAAATGTTTATTTTTTTTTTTTAATTTTTTGAACATTTAACTTAATATTAAAATTTCATTGTTTTGTTTTTTCTTCTGTTTTACTCTATTTTTCTTAATCTGTTGTAAAAATTTTATATTTATTTATTTTTTTAAATTTATTTTAAAACTTATTTCGGTTTTTTTTTTTTTTTCTTTTGTAAGTATAATTATTTCTATATGACTGGCTTAAAAGTTTTATTAAATATATTTACTTTTTTTATATTTTGTGTTTTTTTTCCAAAAATATTACACAACTTACATATATTATTAATTTTTATATTATTTATTATTTTAAGGATATGACACAGTTTTGTTTTTATACAATTTTTTTTTATTCTTCATTATGTCAGCAAGTTTTCCTTCCTTCTCTGCGTTGTGTTGTAGTTTTCAGAATTCTTCCAGATTTTCTTTCTTGTCTCTTCTACTAACTAAACTAGAAGCTCTCCGTTTCTAAGTAACAGAATTTTTCCCTTTTAAATTGAGAAACTAAAGCATTAAAGCCTTTCCATCACGCTCTTATATCGATATCTAGCATAGGGGTTCAATTAAAGTGATCAAATGTTCCATTTTGAAAGTTCACTGGTTTTCGATAGTATGGTCAGCTACAGCTGAGCATAGCCTCGGGAGGCAAGAAGAGAGCAATCTTTAAAGGTACGAAAACTAAGAATATTTTTTATCACCACTACCGAAAAGTGAGGTTACACTAGATATGCCCTTGCGTGTTCACGGCTTTCCGATAGTATAATCAGGTAATCATAGCCTCGAGAGGCAAGAAGAAAGCAATATTTTGTGAAGGGCAAGAAAATTAAGAATCTTTTTTCTTACGACTACCGAAAGGTGAGGGTACACTAGATTTGTCTCTGCGTATCCACGGCTTCCCAATCGTATAATCAGCTAAGCATAGCCTCGACAGGCAGGAAGAGAGCAATCTTTTGTGATTCTGTAAAAAGGAAAGAAAACTAAGAATATTTTTTATCATCACTACCTAAAGATGAGGGTAAAGCATAATCAGCTAAGCATAGTCTCGGGAGGCAGGAAGAGGGCAATCTTTTGTGATTCTGTAAAAAGATAAGAAAACTAAGCATATTTATTATCAGCACTAACGAAAGATGAGAGTACACTAGATTTGTCCTTGCATGTTCACGGCTTTCCGATAGAGTAAGCGCAGCCTCGGCAGTCAGAAGAAGAGCAATATTTTGTGAAAACCAAGAAGATTAAGAATATTTTTTATTGCGACTACCGAAAGGTAAAGGTGCATCAGATTTGTCTTCGTGTTTGTATCACGCAGATGCAGTGGTCAAAGATCGATGAAAGTGTAAATAGTTTACGTGAAACTAAGCTTTTAGTTCGTTAGCACAGACCTATTTGTCAGTTCATCTCATTGTCCATTGCCCGTGGTGCAAAGCCGGAACTTGACATATACATTTAGACCTGTTGATAACAACACTGCGGCATTAAATCAAGACAGTAACGGGTCAAATACTGTAAGTTGTACTTTACAGTGGATGTTTGCCCAAAAGTTATTGCAATTACTTATGGAAGTCTTTGAAAAATGTGAAACAAAAATGATACCTGTCGGTTAAAGAGCAAACCATACTCGGCCCGACTTTTGGAACAAACTTATAGATTGCTTTATGTGTACCAGATGTCGCTGCCTCAGCTCAAATGTAGTTCAATAAGCGGGTCGGCTTTGCCCAGGGCTTAAAAGACCATTATAAGGAAAGATCAAACTTCTTGTACGCTGGCAAATCCGCTCAAGCAACTGCCTTGCATAAGAATGGTACACTTGTACACTCTTTTTCCAAGCTTCTACACGGAAATGAAGGCGAACGTCTTCTGATGTTCGCTAGAGTTTATGGTGAGCGTACTTTAATTCGTGTTCTCCTCACCATATGAAATTCTGCACTTTGCATCAAAAAGTTTGGGAGAATTGGAGCAAGATGGAGGCAAACGCAAACTTGGTTTGACTAGGTCGACCTAAAGTCTCCTCTGGTCGAGGATATATTTAAACTTAATAAGAACCGCTCTAAAGCGATTTCTATTCTAAACCTTTCTTAGCGGACATGAAAATGTTGATATGAAAGGATTATCGTTGGGCGTTGATATATTGAAACTGAAACTCGATATCCGTGAACAGTGCAAAAAAAGTTTATCGATGCATGATGGTTGTACTAAGACTCGTTCTTCGTTTTTTAAACATTCACTGGAAAATGTTCTGTTGCATAGAAGTTTATTAGTTAGAGAGGGCGAAAATAACTTTTCAAAAACAAAATCATTCAACTGACGAGATAACGTTTGTACTTTTTCTTAACGGTATTATTATTCACTTTTCTATTTAGTTTTTTTCTATTCATTAATTAATTTATTTATTTCATTTTATGTTGCCTAATAGTTGCTTGCAACCATTTGCACATTGTTCCACAATTTTTCCATAAATATTTAATAAATTGCACATAGGGCTTAGGCTGTTGTCCTTAAATACCTTTACTACTTAAGTCCTTAATTTTTCATTTTGAAATAATTGCATTATTACCGTAATTGTTGTTGTTGTTGTTGTTGCTGCTGCTGTTACTGCTATTGTTGTTGCTGTTGTTGCTGTTGTTGCTGTTATTATTAAAATTCAAAAATCTTTGCTGTCTTGCTTCATATACACTAGCTATGCTATCCTCAAAGTCTGAGCTAAGTGTTCTGGTATCTCTGGCATTAAAATTTGTTTTAATTGAGTTTCTTATGTGAGAGGTTTTCGTTTGGATATCTTGCTGATGTGTTTGCTGGTGTGCTAACAATTGGTGGGCGTTGTTGTTGTTGTTATTATTATTATTATTATTATTATTATTATTGTTATTGTTAGTGTTGTCGACAATTGTGGAATATCTGTTAGATTGATGACTACTTGTGCTTCGAAAGTTTGCATTACTTGAGGACTCATTGTATAGCGGTAAGGTGTCGTCCATCATTTCTGATTGTTGGTCACTTATCGCTGCTGGAGTATAACATGTACTATGATGATGATGATGATGATGATGATGATGATGATTACTGTTACGGTTTAAATCATGCTGATAATGCTGTTGCTGATGTTCTTGACTATACAATGCTATGCTATTACTACGATTCAAAGTATGCTGTTTATTATTATTATTATTATTATTATTATGTGGTTGTTGCTGTTGTTGTTGTTGTTGCAATTTATCATTTCTCTGATAATTTTCCGTAGCTGTTGTCCTAACAGTTTTTACTGTTGTTTCTCTTATTGCAGTTGCTGCTGTTGTCGTTGACGTTGTTATTGTTAGATTAGGCTATGTTGTCCAACCTCCCGATATTCTTGGCCTCTTATGGGGTTGATTCGCCTCATAATCATTTAAATGATGCTGCTGATGTGTCTGCTGATGCGTTAATGTTTTTTGTAAATCATTTAAACGCAAATCCGGTGACGGCACACTGCTCGGCGTTACCGAACCTGTATTGAATATGATAAAATCTGTTAAATCATTAGTTGCGGTGTTTAATACATTTTTCTTAATATATTGAACAATTAAAAATTAATTAATTAATTAATTTATTTATTTATGTTTTTCACATTTTATGGCAATTTTTGCTTGATTAACTTAACTTTGGGTTAATCAATGGTTTAGATGTTATTTGAACCGATTAAAAGCATAAAAATGGATTATTAAAAAAAAAGTTTAGTAATTGTTTGCATGAGTTAAAGGTTAGTGGAGCAAAAGCTTTTCAAACGTACACTTATGATGAGAAACATCAACTACGCGAAGTCCATAAAAAAGGATTGCATTTAAGAATCTACCAAACACAAAGGCAAAAAAGTATTTAGTTCTAATGAATTTCTTAATTAATGAAAAATAGCTCGAGCAGTTCTTGCTTTTTCCCGTGGCAGTCTTTTCACGGTGCCATTAGATTTCCTTCAATGGTTTTGAGGTTAAAACGTCACCTCTTCCCTCGTTTCTTCCAATGCTTAAACTCATTACAATTCTTGCCTTGAAACAGTCATTTTTTAAAATCATTTATCGATTTTTTCGATTTTGTTGCTATACGCATTTTATTAGGCCTTCTTCAGATGTACTTTAGGGAAAGAAATACCTTTAGAGCTGAACGTGGATATTGATCTATGTGAGACCATACGAGTTAATATTGCTTCATCCATTTCCCTACGAGGCATCACACCGTTATAGCTCAAAAACGGTAATACAATACGATACAGTCACCATATCACGTAGGTCTTCCTAAAGGCGCATTCTGTCTACCATTGCGGCCTTTTACGCGGGAAGGACCCGTTTGCACTGCAACTACATAGTCAGACTATTTAGATGCAACCAGTCACAAGGGCCGTGCGCGCTAGCACGCACAAGATACCACTAAGAGCATCCTAATCATTATCGGAGATTTTCGGGCAACGTGGAAGATAATATCGTGACAGAAAAGTCTATATTTCCATGTTCCCTATCCTAGTTTCCACTTTCCTAATCCGAAGATGTCCGTGGTAACATGATTATGAAGAAAAGGGTGACAACTTCGAGCAGATCTACCTCTCTGCAGAAGTCAAATGAATGTTGATAATGTCACATTAACTTGTTTTGCCACTTAAAGCTCTTAAAGCTCCTTTAACAGAAGAAGCAAACCCTTTTTCTTTTCTGCTGTAAACATATGACAGACGAAGTTCACTGCTTGCTTGACAATGCCTCAAACTTATAATTTTTTTTTTCTACGATTTAGACAAAGAAGGCTGTATATGTCCTCCTGACACTATTTTCCTTCTGTTATTTTTACAATAACACGGATACTTCTTTGATCTCTGCTCAGTCATCACTTAATAAGATATCAAATTTTTGGCCACTAAGTGGCATCTAAATAGTGGAAACATTCGTTTTGTGACCATGAACATTATGTTAATTTATAATAAGAGTACGCATATTTTCTCCGTTCGTCCGTCTACTGATATCTACATTTGCTGGCATGTACGTTTACCGGTAGATCAGTTTACTGGCTTACTCATTGTCCACCCTTTTAATAGCCAATTCGCTCCCTTACGTTTTCTCTGTTCACCGATTCGCTCGTCTACCGCTTACCGGTCCGTCCTTCGGTCTACCCATCCCTTTGCCGGTCCGTCCGTTCAGTTGTCCCTTTGTTTATCCATCTGTTCGTCCGATACCTACATTTGCTGGCATGCACGTTTACTGATACGTCTGTCGGCTCCGTTAGACTTCTTTCTTCCTTCGCTTGCCGAATGGCTCGCTTACGGGTTTTCCGTTCACTAGTCTGTCTTTTATCGGATCGCCTTTTTACCGGTCGGTTCGTTAATCCTCCAAGTACCATTGTGTTTAGCTGTCTGTTTGTCCGTTTACTTGCTTGTCCCTTCATCGTTGCATGCGTTTTCCGATACAAGCATTAACCACTTCCTTGATTAATTCTCACGTTTGTATGGCAGTACATCCATTTGCCGGTATATCTGTTATCCGTTTGTGTAGCTATCCGTACGTTTACTAGTCCATGCGTTTGTATTTGTGTTGCCGAACGCACGACTCATCTATTTGTCTGCTTATTCATTCATTCATCTTCGTTTCTTATTTGTCGTCTGTCTTTCCACCTGCCCCTTTGTGCCCGATCAATTTTCCCTTTTGATCGTCACTTTATATGTCAATTGGTCTGGGTGCCGTTCTCTCTATTCGACCTTCAATTCATCTTTGCCTTATCCGTCTATCGGTCCTTCCATTTGATGAATTGAAACTTGAGATATTTCTCCCCTAAAAATCGAATTGTAAAAATGGGCGTGATTCTTGATTTTTATATATCTGCTCAAATGAATGGATAACAAAAAACGCTATATCTAACGCTGTTCCTGCTAAATGAAGGAGAGTAGATTTTGAAAATTCCTACACAATACCTATGCACCCTACGACACTAAAGAATGTAATATGACAAATAAATGAGTTTATAGATGAATGATAATAATAATGTTGATATATTTAATCTTTATGATTTTAATTAAATTTTTTTTTTTTTTTTTGCCATATTTGTTGCAGTTCAATACGTTCAATATATTAAGAAAAATGTATTCTCATCTCTTATCTCCGTTATTTCGCAGAGAATAAAGAAAAGAGATAGAAAGACAATATGTGTGCGTATGTTAGAAAGAAAGAGACAGATAGAGAGTATGAGAGAGAGAGAGAGAGAGAGAGAGAGAGAGAGAGAGAAAAAGCAAATATTATTTCCATCATGTTTAGGTTTTAATTACCAAAATTCCATAATCTAGAATTCTGACCGAGTTGTGAACGATAATTTGGTGTTGTTGTCGTTGGTATTGTGTATCCATCATATTTGTCTATACATTTGATATTTTTGAACATACATTTCGTTTGAGGCAAATCAGGAAAGGAAACGGAGAAAGAAACCATAGATTAAAAATATAACTTGGAATAATATGTGCACATATATATATAAAAAAAAATTTAATTATCATTTA